TTTTTATTTTTTTATTTTATATATTTTTTGCCGGTTCGGTTTGGTTTCAAACCATAATTAAAATTCTCAAACCTAAACCAAACCGTTTTTGACCGGTTTGGTTTGGTTCAAAGTCATTTCGTTGACGGGTCCACGTGGCACCAACCGATGGTTTCTAAAATGTGGTTTCGGTTCGATTTTTCGGTTTGGCGATTTTTGCTTACAGCCCTAGGTGGAGCTGCCACTCGCTTGGCGCTGAACGGCTCATATATCCGGCCCAAGCCTGTTTTCACGTTTTATACGTATTTTCAGCATTCTATTCCTTCTACAACATCAAGACTAGGATTTTGGATTTCTCTTATATATGTATTTGGCTCTTCTATTCAAGTTAAATATGTTGTTTAATCTCATTACAAGTTAAACAAATTATAAATATAAAATCATTGTATTCTTTCTCCATATTTTAATGAAATTTCATTTACTCTACAAATTATTTTGTTTTTATAATCAGTTATTTCATATTATGACATATTTTCTTTCGTTGCCTATTATAACCGGAAATTTGTATCAGAGCAATTGGTATATTATACGTTATTTATAAAAATTTCAATTCCTATTTACATGAGATATAGTCCCTTATTCTTTCACTCCTGTTGATCCATATATTGTAATTGATCAACGTGCCTCACTTATTTGATTATATTTAGGCCAAGTTTTACTAATATACAATTTTTAATTTCTTGTTTTGTTTGTTTGATACTTTTTGTTTATATAGCCCCCATTTGAAGCGGATTAAAACGAAATTTTTAATAAATTTTGATGAAAATGTATGATTAAAAAGTTATGTGTACCATAAAATATGTAGTTAAAATTAATTATTGATTTTGATTTAAATTAAAATTTGGATTTTAATTCGCACCAAGCAGGGGAATAATTTGTTGCATGATTAATGGTCATATCATGTCCTGAACATAGTTATTTTGATACAATTATGAGCATGAATGATATGTACGATTATATCCGATAATGTTGGCAAATGATATTTTAAAAGATGTACTATCCCAATTTTATATGAAAAAATAAATGAATGTATGTCTATGTCATGAAAGGGATGAGTCAAAAATATATTTTCTTAATATAGTTAGCATATTATTTTTTTAATTTCAAAGTATTGAGGATTCCTTTGAAGGGCATAGAATATTTGTGTAACTAAAAAAAAGGAAATACTACAAATTTAAGAATTTTAAAATTGTACTGAGTAAAAAGCAGAGGGATAATAACATTTTCCCTCCTTTTTTGTTATTTAGTGTTCATCAAAAACTTACTTTTGGGATAGAAAATCGGGAATAATTAAATTAATAGTTGTGGAGAGAGGCCAGAAACTTGATCATCAAAAACCAATCAATCTTTCTCAGGCTAACCACTCCCCATACATTCCTTCAATCTCCTCGATGTCCATGCTGCATATTTCAAACCAAAGTTATGTCAATAACAATAAATTGAAACAATGATAGATAGAAATTAAGACGACATGAGCGTGTCAAAAAATTTCATTTGATAACAATGTGTAAGTATCTAAGCCCAGTACGGTGGCCATTTTTTTGGAATAATATTATTTTAAATGGTGATTGTTCGAAGAATGTATGGTTAAAATTTTTTGAATTTACGTGTATAATATTTTATTTTGTCAATGTGTAGTTGAAAATGAGTACGTAGAAAGAATTTTGAAAGAATGGAAACAAACAGGGGCTAAGTTAGGCTAATTTATAAATTATACACAGTGTGATTGTTCTCATTGTAGGATATTATATTTTAGTAGACAGAAAATGACACTTTTAGCCAGGCATCATGTTTGGTAGTACTTAAAATTAAATTAAACTTACATTTAAATTACTTATTTTAACAATACTATTTTCACAGTCACTTTTTCATTAATAAAACTTATTTTTCTGGACAATCTTGGAAGGTAACTTTTAAGGACTTTGTTAGGGGTACATAATTTTTCACATAATGGTTCACATAATTACACGTGGCACATATCCAACCTTTAATTCAAATTTCACACTTTCACGTCAATTACCGGATGATTGCCACATCACATTATGTACAACAAGCATTATCCAACTTTTAAACACAGTCAAGCTCTAAATTTCAAATCAAGCAAAGACTGCAATGCATTTTCTTTAATAATTTGATCTATGTCTTCTAAAATTTTAAACATGTTTACAATTATAATTATGTTTCTATTCTGTTTATTCTGGCTCTTAATATTTTGATACAATATGTACATACTTAGCATCGTTTCTCTTGAAACAAAGTGACTCGTCGAGCACACTAATAAAATAAATTAAAGAAGAATGTGTAATTCAAAAGTTGATAAAAATTGTGAATTTCATAAAATATGTAGTTAAAGTTAATTGTTAACTTTAATATAAATTTTTATCAATTCTTTTTTTAGCAGGGGCCAAGAGTACAGTAGCAAAGAAAAATTTATTTGACAAAGTAATTGTTTATATTTTATTTTGTTAACACGCAAATGGCAGACACAACAACAACAAATGCTATATGATTTAATAATAATATTTGTTTATTCTGTTGTTTTAAATCTTTTCGTTGACAAAGGAAAAACTCAGATTTTGTAAAAAAAAGACTATGAATTAAAAATTAAAAATAATAGTACTCTTGGTAATTTGGTAAGTGAAAATAAAATAAAATTATAGAATAACATATATAATTCTGTTAATTCTTACCTTGGCAAAGTAGAATCTTGCAGGTATTCTTCAGAATAATAATCATTCAGATTTTGCAGGCAGCTTTCATTTGCATTCAACCAGGCTGGAAACTCCATGACCACATCAAATGGAAAGGCCCCATAGTCTTCTGATTTTTCTGCAGGACCAATTTCCATGGCATTCAAGAACTCGAACCACCAGGCTGAATTGACTAAATTCAGTGTATCATTAAACTCCATTTGATGCTGTTCTCCAATTGATCTTATCTCCGCCATTTCATTATCATCCATTGCTTGATGCAAGCCTAAGTCTGCAACATCAGTAGCCACCACAGAAGGACCCTCCTGTGATGTGGCAGCCATGGAAGGAATTACTTCCGGGGTCAAAAGAGGCAGCGAAAAAGAAGAAGAAGAAGATGGAGATGAGAATGAATAAATCGATGGGTTGTTGTTGTTATGATAAGGAATAGTGTCCAAGTTTCTGAAATCGTGAAAATTAAGATTGAGGCCTAACGTTTGGTTTGGGAGTGGAAAATTCATATTTTCTTGGACAAGTACTGGTGGTGCAGTTGGAGACAAACCCCAAGTGTAGGGATTATAGGGAGGACAAAACTCTGATGAATATGAGAAATTGTCCTCAAAGTTGGAAAAGTCCGTCACTGATGCCACGTTTTTCTGTAGTGATTCATGTTCTAAAGAAAGTCGGGAACATTGCTGGTGCTGCTGCTGCTTGCTGGCTTGCTTCATAGCAGCTCTATGAAACTTAAGGGCAGTGACAATTTCTCTCCTGGCCTCAGCCATATTTAGAAGCCTTTCTTGATAAGGTCTGCTAGTGTGGAGTCTCCTCCTAACTTGTTTTTTCTGCTCTTGATGAGGAGACTCTTGCACTCTTTCACTAAATTCGTCTGCCATTTTTGTGCTTGAAATCCCTTCTCCCACTAAACTTTCTTGCAATTTAGGGTGTGCAGAATCTTTGGTTAATCTTGAAGAGGTCAATTGTTTGACAAGGCTACGAATATAAGCACCTGAGAGATGGGGTTCTTGATTCATTTCATCAACTTTTACTTCTATTCCACCATTTTTTGCACTTCGTTTCTTCGAAGAAGATTTTCCTCTCATTTCTTGTAACTATTTTTCAGTATACAATTTGGCAGTTTTTTCTTTTAAAAAGTTATATGGCAATGGAGCGGTGGAATGTTGAGAGAGAGTCGGTTTGAAAGATCATGGTTTTCAACTTTCTGAGACAAAGTACAAAATGCACAGGATGGAGGTCCTATAGGACTCGTGGGTGTTATAAATAGCTGACGACACTCTACAGTCTAGGGTTTTTTTAATTATTTTTGAACATTCCTTGTTTGGTAAATGGCTAGAAATTATTAAATTTTTGTTGGAACATTTTCGAGAGACTATTTATTTATGTATTATAATGAGCATCTTTAGATTTCGATAGTTAAAATTTATATACATTCCAACAATACTCTCTATTTGAACTCTTCATTTTGTTTTACTCAAAAAATATTTATTAATTTCTCCTTATATTTCATTTAACACAGTTTTTTTACATGTCATGGACAATCAATTTGAATAGTTTAAGAAGTAAAATATTGAAATCTGTGATTTATTAAATGTAATAATTCTATAGTAAAAACATTTTCAAATGACTTTTTAAATATAAAGAACAATGTTATTTGTACAAACTAGATTTACATACAGACGAAGTGTCAAAAAGAGAAGAATTTTTCTTTTATTTGGTTGAAAAAATTCTGACTCAATCGTATATCCACATCATGTGTATTTAAACAATTATGTAAATTATTATGTGCACATAGTACAATCGAAATACAAAACGTTCTTTATTTTAAAAATATAATGCTTAAACATAAGCTCCAAAAATATTCTTTATTTTAAATTTTAAAAATAGATAGCGAATTTGACTCTCCAAATTTCAATATTTAACTTTTTAAACTATTCAAACCACATTTAAATTATTAACAATTGAAATATAAAAAAATATTTCAAATTAAAATAAAAGGAGAAATTAATAAATGTTTCTTGAGAAAAACAAAATAAATAGTCAAAATAGAGAGTATTGTTGGAGTACATAAAAATTTTGACTCTCTAAATTTAAAGATTCTCGCTATAATGCATAAGAACATCTCCAAAAAACTTTTCAAATATAATATGTTCTATATTTTAAAGAGTCAACTCCTTAAAATTATGCTCCAGTAGACCCTTTAAATTAATATTTTAATTTAGAGAATCGGTTTGACTCACTAATATAATAATTTGGAGGAAAACTAGTAAACATAAAATATAGAGAAAAATAATATATATTTTTGGGGAGTAGTTAAATTATTTAAAAAATTTTACTCTTTAAATTTATATATATTCTCAAAATTGTAAAATATACTCTTTAAAAATAGAAAGTCCATTGACGATACTTTAAATTTAGAGAGTCAAACTCACACTCTATTTTATTAAAATAAGAGTTTCTTGAAACTTATTTTTAAGCATTAACTTTTTAAAATAAAGTGCATCTTGAATTTAAAGGATTTTTTGAAGATGCTATTATTACTTGGTCACCAAACTTCAAAATTTTGCTCTATGATCACTCAATTTTCAAACGTGATGTCATCCATTATTCTGATAGATTTAGTCAGTGTTTATTATTTCAACAACATATTTCATAAGATTCATAATTTTTCAACGTTAAATTTCGTTAATTTTAATTAAAATCTATTAAAATTTTGAGTTTAATCCTCCCAATCAAGGGTTTAGTTAAAATAGGGATTAATAGCAGAAAATCGCTCTAAAAAGTTTCAATTTGCGATATACCTCATACCTATTGAAAATAGCAGAAAACCCCATATCGTCAACATCCTTCAAATTTGCCGTTAAAAACAATAAAAAAATGCCAAAATTAAAAAGGAAAAATTACAATTTTAGTACCCAAACTTTTTCTTTTTTACAAATTAAATCCAAATGTTTTATATGTGTCACCAACTATTCCAAATCTTTAAAACTTTATTTTTCTCCCTACTCCATTCTATCCCACTTCATCTTCTTCTCCAAAAATCTTTGGATAATCTTGAAGAGGCCAATTGTTTGACAAGGCTACGAATATAAGCACCTGAGAGATGGGGTTCTTGATTTATTTCATCAACTTTTACTATTTATATTCCACGATTTTTTGCAATTCGTTTCTTTGAAGAAGATCTTCCTCTCATTTCTTGTAACTATTTTTCAGTATAGAATTTGGCAGTTTTTTCTTTTTCTTTTAAAAAGTTATATGGCAATGGAGAGGTGGAATGTTGAGAGAGAGTAGGTTTGAAAAAAATTGGTTGGAGTGCCGGTCCCACAGTCACTCCAACCAATTGTAGGCCACAATGTGTCCATTATGAATCCCATAATGTACCACAAGAATTTCCCTTTTTTAATTATTTTGGAATATTCCTTGTTTGGTAAATGACTAGATTGCGTTATTGCAAGTGAATTGATCATTAAATTTTCTTGTGTTAGAACATTTTTTAGAAGACTCTTTATTTAAGGAGTCTCTTATGCATTACAATGAGCATCTTTAAATTTAGAGAGTTAAAATTTATGTGCATTCCAATAATGCTCACTATTTTGACTTTTCATTTTATTTTTCTCAAAAAATATTTATTGATTTCTTCTCATATTTCATTTAACACAGTTTTTTTACATGTCATGGCAAATTAATTTAAATATGATTTGAATAGTTTAAGAAGTAGAGTATTAAAACTTGTGATTTATTAAATGCAATCATTGTACATTAAGAATATTTTCAAGCGACTTTCTAATATAAATAATAATGTTATTTGTACATAATTGAGTTATATACAGATGAGATGTCAAAAAGAGGAGAATTTTTATTTTTATTTGTTTGAAAAAATTCTGACTCAATCATATATCCACATTATATGTATTTAAATCATTAAAATATTAAATAAATCATCATGTATACTTAGTACAATTGAAATACAAAATGTCCTTTATTTTAAAGATATAATGCTTAAAAATAAGCTCTAAACAACTTTTTATTTTAAATTTTTAAAATAGAGAGTGAGTTTGACTCTCCAAATTTAGAGAGTCAAACTCACTATTTGATCATAATGTACAATGATTGCATTTAATACATTACATATTTCAATACTTAGCTTTTTAAACTATTCACACCACATTAAAATTATTAACCATTGAAATATAAAAAAATATATATTTTAAATTAAAATAAAAATAAGAAATTAATAGATGTTTCTTGAAAAAAGCAAAATAAAGAGTCAAAATAGAGAGTATCGTTCGAATATATAAAATTTAAAGATGCTCTCTAAGATACATAAGAACATCTCCAGAAAAACTCTTTAAATATAATATGCTATATGTTTTAAAGAGTCAACCTCTTAAAATTATGTTTCAATGAACTCTTTGAATTAATATTTTAATTTAGAGAGGGTTTGACTCTTCAATATAATAATTTGGAGGAAAACTAGTAAAAATAAAATACAGAAAAAAATATTTTTGGAGAGTAGTAAAATTATTTAAAAGTGTTTACTCTAAAAATTTATATGTATTCTCTAAATTGTAGAATGCATAATGCTCTTGAAAAATAGAAATCCGTTTAAGATGCTCTAAATTTAGAAAGTCAAGCTCATTCTCTATTTTATTAAAATAAGAGTTTCTTGAAACTTATTTTTAAACATTAACTCTTTAAAGTAAGTACCGAGCTTGGCTTACAGGGGTGGGGGTTCACAAAACCCCCACAGATCACTCACAAGGCATGGGGTCGACAAATTTTTTATCCATTTTTTAATGAGCTCGTCACACATGCCACATGGGCCCACCTCATGTGAGAGGTGGTAGAAGTTCTGTAAACCAATTTTTTATACATTTGGCTTAACTCTTAACATAAAGTGTATCTTGAATCTAAAGAGTCTTTGGAATACGCTATTATTACTTGGTCACCAAACTTCAAAATTTTGCTCTATGATCACTCAATTTTCAAACGTGATATCATCTATCATTCTGATAGACTTAGTCCATGTTTGTTATTTCAAAAACATATTTAATGTGATTCACAAATTTTCAACGTTAAATTTTGTTAATTTTAATTAAAATCTATTAAAATTTTAGTTTAATCCTCCCAATCAAGGTTTAGTTAAAATAGCTATGAATTGGCCAATGAAAACATGTCAACACCATTAAGTACGTTATCCAAATGAGATAAATCGTGTTCTCAAATGATCATTACTTTTGTTATTGGATGGTTATTATATTGTAAAATATTTCTTCGCGGTCACTAAATTTTTCAGAGTGTTCTTCGGTGGAATAAATAATATGCAATTTTATTTTTTTTAACACATTCCTTTTCCTTCGTCCATTCCATCTTGCCATTGGCTCAATTTCATGCTGAAAATTTCTGGTGTTGTGCCAAAATTAAATTGAACTTTTTATTATTTTAAAACAAGGGCTAATTATGATAAATATTTCTTCTTCATAGTTTTCGAATATTTCAAATTTTCGTAGTATAAATCTTCATATTTCCGCGTTAATTTCATCTCTTATTTCAATTTCATTCTCTAATCGACATTGAAAGTTCATTTTCCCAGGTAGCTTATCTACACACTCTACTTTGAAGCTTTAGCGATTTTCTCCTGGCAGACCATTCATCATCACAATGCAGAAAATACACGCCTTTTATAATGTTGTCACGAATCAAATATTTTTGTTGCACATGAGTGAAAACATACATGAGTGAGATCACAAGATGTAGATTAGTGTATTTAACTGTAAACTTTTACTTCACAACACTTTCGATAATAGCGTTGTTTATGGCTTTGAGATTTTTGAGGTTTCGATTTGCTTAGTTGTTAACTTAATTAGCCTATCTTCCATAGAGTATGATTAGCGATGATTTTTAATTAATAGATATTTCTTTTTTTTGTTTTATTTTGATATTTGTTCTGTATCGCTGTTTGTACTTTTTCTTTTTTTTTTTTTTTTTTTGGGACATGAATTAAGTCCTGAGCATTAGAAAGTGACACGTTGTGATGCTTTTTAATTAGAAGTTGATATGCCGTGTAATTTGATTTATTTTTTTA